GTCTCTGACTTACACATTGGTATGATCCAAGAGATGCACATGGCAAGTGTTACAAAAACTAACGATTGGTGGTATGACTCGGGTGCAACTACTCATGTTTGCAACAACAAATCACTTTTTAAAGACTACACTGAATCTACAGGAGGTCATGAAGTACTGCTGGGTGATCATCACACCACTAGGGTCCTTGGGACCGGATCGGTGGAATTGTAGTTTACTTCGGGAAAGACAGTCATGTTAACAAATGTGCTCCATGTTCCTGAGATTAGAAAGAACCTAGTTTCTGGTTTTATGTTGTGTAAAAAGGGGATCAAGGCAGTGATAGAATCTGACAAAGTAATTCTGTCTAAGGCTGGTATATTTGTTGGGAAGGGTTATGCTTGTGATGGAATGTTCAAACTAAGTATCAGTAAAGTTGGAAATTTCGCTTATATTCTTGAGCAAGTATTTGTTTCAAATTTCAACATTGAATGTTCTTCTTTTCATTTGTGGCATAATCGCTTAGCACACGTTAACTATAGGACAATGAGAAACATGCATAAAAACGGTGTGATTTCCTATAGTAATGAACATTTAGATAAATGTGAAATTTGTGTTCAAGCGAAAATGAAAAGAAAACCCCATCCCCAAGTTCAAAGAAATTCTGAAACTTTGGAACTTGTTCACTCGGATATATGTGAATTCAATGGTCAATTGACTAGAAATGGTCATAGATATTTCATAACTTTCATTGATGATTGCTCGCGATTTACCTATATTTATTTGTTAAAAACAAAGGATCAAGCTTTTGAGAAATTCAAAATTTATAAATCTGAGGTTGAAAATCAAAAGGGAAAGAAGATAAAATTCTTACGTAGTGATAGAGGTGGAGAATATTTTCCCACTGAATTCGATTCCTTTTGTGAAAACCATGGTTTAGTACACCAAATGAGTGCTCCCCGAACACCTCAACAGAATGGAGTAGCCGAAAGGAAAAATGGAGTTTTAACTGATTTGATAAATGCAATGCTTGTAAATGCAAATTTGCCGCATACTTTGTGGGGTGAAGCATTACTCACAGCATGCCATATAAATAATCGAGTGCCTAGTAAATTTACTAAAGTATCACCTTATGAAATATGGAAAGGAAGAAGACCCAATATTAATTATTTTAGAGTCTGGGGATGTTTAGCATACTATAAAATCTCTGACCCTAATAAGAAAAGTAAGTTGGGACCAAGAGCTTTAAAAGGTATTTTTGTGGGTTATGCACAACATTCTAAGGCCTATAGAGTTTTGGATCTAAATTCAGATGTCATTGTAGAATCATATGATGTGGAGTTCTTTGAGAACTAATTCCGTCGTGATTCTATTAATGAAAAGGAATTGAATGGTGCACCACAAGTTTCTCCATATTTAGATGTTGGTTCTAGCAACCAAGGCCTTGACACCAGTACTCAAGGTGTCGGTACTAGTGAGCAAAGTGTTGATACAAATCAACATGATGTTGGAACTAGTAATCCAGATAAGGGGTCTACTAATAACGAGAGTTTGTCTAGTGCTCCTAATGAACCTAGGAGAAGCAAAAGATCTAGACAGGAGAAAACTTTAGGTCCAGATTTTATAAATTCACAAGCCATCATTTTCTTGGTAGAAGGCAATCAAGAAAAGGTTGTCAACAATACACCCATTGTTCTTCATGTTGAGAACGATCCAAAAACATATGAAGAGGCAATGTCCTCAAGAAATGCTATGTTCTGGAAGGAAGCAATAAATGACGAGATGGAATCATTACTTTCTAACAATACTTGGGAAATCTCTGAATTGCCTCCGAGTTCTAAAGCGATTGGATGTAAATGAGTTTTTAGGACAAAATATAATACAGATGGATCTATAAATTGTTTTAAAGCTAGACTGGTGATACAAGGATTTAGTCAAAGGCATGGCATAGATTATTTTGATACTTATGCTCCAGTAGCAAGGATAACCTCCATAAGAGTACTTTTAGCCTTAGCCTCCATTAAAGATCTTTTTGTCCATCAAATGGATGCTAAGACAGCATTTCTAAATGGCAATTTAGATGAGGAAGTGTACATGAAACAACCTGAAGGGTTTGTTTTGCCGGGAGATGAGAATAAAGTTTGTAAACTTAGGAAATCTTTATATGGGTTGAAACAAGCACCAAAGCAGTGGCATATGAAATTTGACATGGTGGTACTTGCTAATGGTTTCACTCATAATTCCGCTGACAGATGCATTTATTCTAAGTTTACGAAGGGTTATGGTGTAATCATTTGCCTGTATGTTGATGATATGTTAATAATTGGAACAAACATGGAAGCAATTGATGAAACTAAGAAATATCTTACTTCTTGTTTTCAAATGAAAGATTTGGGTGAAGTAGACACTATTTTAGGAATTAAAGTTAAGAAGCACAGTGGGGGTTTTGTTTTGAGTCAATCTCATTATATTAGCAAGGTTCTTGATAAGTTTAAACACTTGAAAGTCAAGGAGGCTAATACCCCATATGATAGTTCTCTTAAGCTTGAAGAAAATTCGGGTAGAGCCATTGGTCAACTTGAGTATGCAAGTGCATTAGGAAGTTTGATGTATGCAACTCATTGTACTAGGCCTGATATTTCATTTGCGGTAAGCAAGTTGTCTACCTTTACGAGTAATCCTAGCAATGACCATTGGAAAGCCGTAGGAAGGGTGCTTGGCTATTTGAAAAGAACCAAAAATCTTGGTTTACATTATAGCAACATTCCATGCGTTTTGGAAGGTTATTCTGATGCTAGTTGGATTTCAAGTCTAAATGATAAGAAATCAACTAGTGGCTGGGTGTTTACGCTTGGCGGTGGTGCTGTTTCTTGGGCCTCAAAAAACAAACATGTATCACACATTCCACCATGGAAGCAGAATTTTTGGCTTTAGCGGCAGCAGGCAAAGAGGCAGAATGGCTAAGAAACATGTTATTGGATACAGAGTTGTGGCCACAACCGATGCCAGCCATTTCTTTGCATTGTGACAGCGAGGCTACAATGTCTAGGGCATTTAATAGAATTTATAATGGAAAATCTAGACATATTGGCTTGAGGCATGCATATGTTAGACAGTTGCTATCCGACGGGATAATTACGGTTCTTTATGTACGATCGTGTAATAATATAGCGGATCCTTTTACCAAAGGACTTCCAAAGGATATGGTTTTTGGAATGTCGAGGGAAATGGGGTTAAGGCCCTGTTAAGACCTTGTATATAGTCGGCATGATAGGAACCCAACCTTTTCTCTAGGTCTACCCTTAGTCAGAAGGTTCAATGTGGTAATAACAAATCATCGATAACCGACTAGGACACTAACCTACAATTATAGGTCGAGTGTGATTTGTTAGGGTGAGTATTATGCTCTTAATGAAGTTCTTTTGTTCTTGTAAAACTGTGAGACTTCACCTATATGAAACATTAGGAGTGGTGCCGCTCCTAGTCGAGAGTAACTGGTCAACTTTCGTAAGATGTTTTATGAAAAAACTAGGATGAGCACATGGCCATAATAGTGCTACCAGGCTATGAACAACATGTATTGGAATTATGTGTGTGTTGTCTCCAACTCTAAACATAAGGAATCATGGCTAAAATGCATTAAGCCGCCATTGATTTCGTTAGAGTTTTGAGCAATTACACTACATGAAGGTTCATTTATACACAATTCTATGGTTACTATACCAACTATTGAGTCCATCGTAGCTCGGCATCGTGAGTGATCACCATCGCCGCCAGTTGTCCATCGCAGCCGCCTTCCACAGATCAGATCGCGGGCCTAGGAGCTCTGCCGCTGCTACGCTCCTCCATCACGTCGCGTAGCTGCCCGCCCGCCGCTTCATAGCCATTCTCCTCCTTCGGCATCCAGCGCATGGCTGCACTAGTTACATGCTGCTGAAGAATGGATGAGGCAAGGTGAGATCCGGAGAAAATGAAGGCGCCGCCACGCAGGAGTTGCTATTAGGGTTGAGAGAGTACTATTAAAGATGATTTATATGGGATATTCCGTAAAATTTGAATGGACACCACACACTTCATTTTTAATTAGATTTCAACCCACTGCATTTTTTTTCAAAATATAGCCTCGCCTGCCATCATTTTCATTTTTCTTTAATTTTTCTATTTTTTTTAGATTAAGTTCTGGGCATTAAATATGGGCATTGAACACCATCATTGAATACTCCGTATTTCAATAAGTGTTGTAGACCGTGAATATATATGGTAATAGACGTATTGAACATGGCAGCGAACGAATGCATTAAGAAATTTTGTTGTGTATTGATTATGACCGATATTGTAGTAACACAGAGTAATGATATCATCATGAAATGCAATATACTCAATTAGAGGTAAAATAATAAAATTACTAAATCCAAAAAAATAAAAAATAAAAACAGAAATAAATTCCTCAAGTGAAAATAATGAGAAGAGAATTAACTTTGGCGGAAGTGCAGTGATTATTACCGGATGTGCAGTAAAGACGTGCATCAATTTTGTGCAGTAACGACAATATAAAGTGCATTAATTTTAATTGGACGAAAGTAGTGCAAAATGCACATATTTTATATAAGGGTATTTTCGTCATTCAAAATTTAAATATAAACAAATTTTCTATTTGTTTTTGGATTTTCGGTCATACAAAAGTATAAAAACTAGTTAGGTCATATATTGAGAAACTCATTGAGTTTTAGTCATATCTATATTGAGAAACTCATTGAGTTTTAGTCATATCTAGGTAAATTTCCCTTTACATGCATAGTATGGATTGATTATATCGCATGTCAGAAATCGCGCATGCGAAGGAGAAGTTAAATGAACGCCAATTGTTGCACACTATGCGAATTGCGGAAAGGGTTTTAACAATTAAATTGACTTTGTAAAACTCAAAATCAGATTTTAGGATCTTAGGCAAATGATATAGGGTGATTATCGAATGGGTAATTATGACATATACTCCTAAAAAGCAGTATCGTGGATGATATTAGTTTCGGGAATGTGATGTAAATTGTCATTTCAATTTTAACATGAACGATGTCATCATCACTAATTATATTGAATCATCATTATCAAAACTCGCTACACTAAAAGTAACAGCTCGATTTAGCACTCGACATGATCAAAGATCACAACTATCGTCCGACCGTCGTGCACGGATCCTTGCATATGCTCAGCAGCTCAGACATTGCAACGACAACCGATCACCGGAAAGGAATACCACCATAAACTCAAGATCCAAACTACATAAGGTAATTGATCATTCTGATCTTGATTTCAGATTTCCGATGGATAAAAATAAAGATTTCAGAATTGATATGCTTTTTGTTAGCAATCATGGAATAAAAGTATTGAACAAATCAATTGTACATGATCGTTGTCTCATGAATGTAATTTATACTTCGTATATTGTAGGTATGGTTTTTTTTTTTTGAAAGAATATTGTAGGTAAGATTTAAAAAATAAAAGTCATCAATGAGACAATGATCATAAAAAAGATTAATTTATATATGGATGCTCGTAATTGTAACATCTGGAACGTTAAGCCATCACTTGGAATAAACATACTTCCATATTTAAATGCCACAATAAAGTCTCAAAATATATGCATGCTCACTTGAAATTTAAAATTCTAAAGTTAATTTCTTTTGTTTTGTTTATGAAATAGCGTGAGAGGTAAAATCAATCAGGAGTAATATTTATTTACTTATACTTTGAATTTCACGTACGGGAATCTTCAAAAAGTGAAGAACAATTAGTTAAGTAATTTACCAAGTTTATAAAGTCATCCAAAGGAGAAAATTTTGGGCTATAAATATTAGGCCTTTTTTCCATCTCAAACACAAAATTCTTAACCCAAAATCATTCTATAAAGTCCTGTACTTCTGCTATTTCCGAGCTTCAAATCCTCATATCTTCTTCATTTTAGCTTCAAATTGTAAGTTCCTTATATGTATTTTCATCCTCTAAACGTGTCGAATCTGTTTGTTCGATCTGTTCTTCGAAAATTTCCAAAATATTTATCAACTATTTCACATTTTCTTTCAAAAATTGAATAAAATACTTGTTGATGTTTAATCCATTCCATTTAGTTATATAGTTTTTAATAGCCTCAAGGTAATTATTTATCTGAAAAAATTTAATTTTCACGCAGCAGAAGTAATTTTTAATTAATTTTGGTAATTATTAGATATTATTGCATAAAATAAATTAAATACTCAAAAAAGGCAAAAAAATAGTTTCGGTCCTAATTCCAGTTTAATTCACTGTAATATCACTACCAGTAGTTAATATAAAATTTATAACGAATTTAGAGTATTTTTAGTTGGTTTTTGCATTTTCTAGTTAATATTGGAAAAATTATCAATTAGTTGTTAAAATTGGATTTTAGGTTTATAAATTCATGAAAAAATCCATAAAGGTATATTTTAGTTCCTACAAGTTTATTTTTCCATAATATAATTTTTTTTAATATTTGCTATCATACATGTTTAATTTCTTGTTAATGTTGAATATATTCATTATATTGTTAAATGCAAAAATGATGTTTAGTAGCTAAATTTGTTTTGGGCATGAATTGAGTAAAAGAATATGGATTGACTTGTTGACATCAAATTAGGGATTCAAATTAATAAATTGGACTAGTTGTTTAAAATGATGAAATAGTGATTAATAATTGTTAGCCATTTTCATTAACTAAATTCTTGGAAAATAATTTCTAACTTGTCTTGAGATTAGAAAATAATTTACGCCAACCATATTCAAGCACATTAATAAGTCCTAGAAATAGGATAATTTAATGAAAGGGATTTACATCTTGTCTATGAAAAATAAATTCAATTGCTTAAATAATGAGTTTGACTAGTTAATGAATTTGGCTATTTTTATTAATTAAAATATTGGAAAGTTTTTCTACCTTGTCTATGGGTTTAGAAAATAATTTAAGCCAATCTTTTTAAACACATCAATGACACCTACAAATAGGATAAATTAATGAAGATAGTTTCTATTCTTGTCTATGAGGAAGGAATTTATTAGTCCAATTTTAGTTTTAATTTTCCTAATTACTAGGTGCAAGAATATATCCATTTCTAATTGCTCAATTCATCACCCTTATTTTCATCAATCTTTAGAACACTTAATCTTTAAACATTAATCTTTAAATTGAACTTGGCTCCTAGCTATAAATTAGCATAATTTAGAACACAATCACTTTTCTATATTGAAAAAGCTTCCAACGATTAGCGATAGCCTGTGACTAAAATTAAATTAAGAAACTTCTCCGTCATTCCTCAAGAGACACGATACTTGGAGAAAAAACGAAAGGTTAGACTCCGTTTTACTACAACGCTGCGAAAGCGGTTATCACCACACCATACTCGATCATTCAGACCAGACTGAAACAGACCAGAAATGAAGATGGCCTAATACAAATTATTTTACCTTGTATTAGCAGAAAAGGAGATGGCCTGCAAAGATAAAATCTTCATTTGACCAAATATTTCAACGACACAAAGTGCCGAGGGGCTATGAACGTATTCTTACCGAAGAATACAACGACGACAATGAGTATACACCCGGTGAAAAAGTCAACAAATCCAAACACAGAACTTCTTACTTTTGTGTAAGGAAAAGTTTTGTAAACATATTTTTTGTGTGCATAGTTTTGAATACTACTACCTTCATCATCATATAACTGTGTTAGGATGTGACCCTCGATCTTCCAATTTGATATTTTATCGCTAATATGGAGTATGTAAGATTATAGACATATAGACTTTAAGATTATCTTATGCATATCATAGTCCCCTACTAGTCCGTCATTTATAAGTGTATCGTTTGAAGTTAATAGTGCACCGTGCATAAGAATAAGTGCAACTATTCACACGTTTTACAGGAACATACATATTTTTTTATTCGAATCGCACTAATTAAATATCTATATAATTATATAATTTGAAACATGAGGTGCAAAGTTAATTTAAAAAAAAGTAGAACTGAAATCTCTCACTTTCTACTTTTGAGTAATTCTTGTACGTTTAACTATGTATATACATACTTGACTAGATAGGGTCATATTGATTTTGAAGAGGGTAGTTCATATACATAACTCCTGAAGAGAAGCCCTGTGCGGACAAGATCGTCAAAGGGTCTTCCTGGTGGAAAGTTTTGATAATTTTTTGGAGCATATTCCACATCAAGTGTAGTTTATCCATACTAAATTTCAGCTCAAAATTCGATCGGGAAGACAATCAAATAAATGCGGGAAACATATTGCACATTATATGTGCAGAATGCGCATATGTTTCCAGAATTTATTTGACAGCCTTTCTGAACGAGTTTTGAGCTGAAATTTGGTATGGATAAACTAGACTTGATGATGAGAAACATACTCAAAAAATTTCATCAAAACATTCCACAGGGAAGACCCTCTGATGGTATTGTCCGCACGGGACTTCTCTTCAGGAGCTCCTGATAAGAACGGGACTCTGATTTTGAATATACTATGTACTTTATATTATGTTCTAACAATGCAGGTGAGATTCAAGGCACTTCTCAAAGAGTTTTCTTGTGTTGGGATATTTAAGCAGAGGCGGATGCAGGAATCCCCGGCAGGAGGAGTGACAGTGTAAAACAATACATACAAATACATATATATTAAAATTTTAGGGTAAATATAACTATGAGGGAAAAAATGGCGGGACGGCGGCACCCATTTGCCCCTCTTTGAGTCCACGACAGTATTTAAGTGATAAATAAATACAATGCATCTTAGAGCATCTTTAATGGTAATGTGCATCGACTAAAAATGCATTGCCCCGTAGTTAAAATAGACATTAATAACATTATGGTAAGAAAATCATCTAAAATTGGGTTATATAACAATTGATATAGACACGTATTCTGGTATTTTTACAACAGCAAGATCAAATGAGTACATGCAAAATATTAATAAGGATCCCTTTAATCAACTTTTGGTGTGATGGATGTACATAGAGATGTACCTATGATATATATGTAAAAGGAAGGCTAAGTCATTGGAACGTCTAACAGATGGATAAGTTTAAGCTACATGCATTAGGCTCTGTTTGCAACCACTTGTGCTTAAATAAAAGCACTTTTGGAGAAAAAGTGATTAGTAGTAAAAGTTGGTAGTGTTTGGTAAAATAAGTGCTTTTTGTGTAATAGAAAAAGTAAAAAGTAGATTCTACATGAAAATTGAGGAAGTAAAAGTTGGTAGTGTTTGGAAAAATAAGTGCTTTTTTCTTTAAAAAAAGCCAAAATCACTTTTTTTAATTGGTTGCAAACAAGCCCTTAACCTCATTCGCGGTTAATGCGGGTGTATCACGCTATTTAAATGATACTAACGGTTGGAAGAGATTACCCTAAGATTAGAAAACTCATGAGAGATCCGCATTTTGTTTAGGTCTCTTTAACTTTCACCTGTAAGTGCATACTACTATCTCAATGAGTATAAAGTATATCAGTAAACCCGCTCTTAGTTGACGAAGCTTTCCAACTATATCTTGTTCAAAGTTTTATCTTCTCCCAATCAACTTTACACCAAATAATAGACCTTCTTGATATTGTCCAAACCATAAGAACTAGTATCCCATATAAGTCACTGTTTATACACATTTTGTTGGAAATGTGTGAACACCTCTATTTATATCGACTACTCAATAGGGAACTTGATGGTTATAAGCTTGATAACATGATATTAGTTCAATCTTTAGCTCATACCCGGGCCAATGTGTGCATTGTAATTGAAGTTGGAACAAAAGCTTTAGAAACGAGTTCGGAGTGAAATAGTTGAAATTACAGGGTGTTCAAACCCTGTAATTCAAACAAATAGAGCACTTATAGAAATGAGTTTACCTGTCATTTTAGTTCATTGTATTATGTTGACTTCTGAACTCGTTTATTTGAAGGCTAATGTTTAGGGACGGTAAAACGTGATTTTGGAGGATACTTATTGATTCACTTCGAACGATATACCTGAACTTAAATTCAATTGTGAACATAGATATGTTTGGAACATGAGTTGCGTGTTTTCGTACAAGATCTTTAAACGCAACAAGATTGTACATAATACGCTAAGGGATGTTATAAAGCTGATTATATATTTATCGTGGTTTGAAGGCTATTATCCCGTAAAGATAGATTGCCATCACAAATGAGTGCACTCATTTAGATGTCATGGCTGAAAACTATATGATATCTTCATATACTGCAATGATTTCACATATTAAAAGGTTTAATCAGCACTATAAACACATTCTCCTAAATATCGAACCCCAAATCTGTTATTAAAGCTTTTGAAAAACCCGTTTATCATTTACTATACGTTGTCCTGAGATATAATAGCTTAAATAATTAACTTATAAATTATTCAAGGTAAAAATGGATGATGTCACCCCTTTTATCTCCCAGCTCTAAGTGTCATAGTTTACTTAGTACTCGTAAGTAAAAAACGCTCTTATCATAAAATTTTGTATTAGTATCAATAGCTATTTACAATTTTCAGGGTTTATATTTACCCAAACGAGTAAAAGGTAGAAAACGTTGAAAAGACATTTTCGAAAAGATTGTCACGAATATTAGCTTTAGTAGATAAGATAATTTTGGGTAAATAGCTTGTTATCATTTTAGTTCTAAAAAACTAAAATTGATCACTTCTAGTCTGATTTCATAAAGGTATTATATCTTTTTCTTGTCTTATTTGTAACTCAAATAAGAACATGTAAACTCCTATTTGGTAATGACCATAATAATCTATGGTCACCAATAATATGTGCACTCTATTAGGATATAATAAAGCTTTATGTGCAAATAGGGCACTTCATTCCAATAGATATTTTCACCCCAAATATATCATGTTCTTCAACGGGACATTCATATGATTAATCTCGGATACGCTAATCAAACATCTTCAAGTTTTACGATTTATTAGCCTAGTCAATCCGATTCGGCAATTAGATTTACCGTGCAAAACTATGACCTCTCAAAACATAATCGTTTATATATATTAAGGGTATAGAACCTATACGTTTCGAAATATCAAGGGATGATTGATGAAGGCCTATATGGTAATACTTAGACGGTACACCTAACTCATGAAAAAGTTATCATGATAACTTCTATTGAACGATCAAAGGCCTAATTCATATGTATTAAGTCCTAAACCCTAAACCCTAAACCCTAATAATATCAAGGGATGTGGGAAACTAGAGATAGTACAACATTGAATCAACAAGATTTAATGTTGTACTATCACCTTGGAAAGAATAAATGTTGGGTTTAGGGTTAAATCTGAAATATTTGTGAAATTTCAGATTTCTCCCCAAGATCATACCGTTTTCAGCCTAAATAAAGCACTTTACCATAAAAAAGTAGTGTCATATTTTAGACATCCGTGAGAATCGTAAAGGTATTAGTGCCCTGAGTGACACTAAAGCCGTATAGAGAATACTTATAATCCGTTGCCTGATTTATTATACAGACATCACTTCATCAGAGTTGGTTTTGAGTGTGTTCTTCCGTAATACACACGGAAATTAGGATTTAGTTCCTATCAAATCACCTTATGTGATCGGAGTCATACCGACGAAAGTGAGTGATTGAACTAGAATGCTGTGTAAAACTTAAGGTGATTTCCTCGATAGGCAAAATTACACATAGAACCGTTCTACTCAGTGGGCATTTTTCCCTAGGCTTACTATATATTGTTAGATATTCCAGCGAAGAACGTTTTAATAGTTATGCTTTTCGAAATATTTATCCCTTTCATACTTTAGATAACTTCGTAATAGACATCTAAGAGCTAAATACGGGTGCTACCTAATCATAAATATAATTTTTTTAAACTAACTTTGCACTAAATGTTTATATGACTTCAGGCGCCGGTTTCGAAATATCATTATTTACGTGACACTCATTTATATTGGGTTAAATGATGTTGTTTATCACACCGTTAAATTAGTTCTTTATATTAGTGTTGTTTAGAATAAAGTATTTACTACGATATTTAGCTCTTATGAACTCCAAGCACTAGAGTAAATTACTATAACTTATTTACACTCTTTGGGGCAACTGATCAGATATTATGTTCCTAAAATAGTCACATAACTTTACTAGTTTCATAATCAGAGAACATGTTTCCTCGGAGATGAAGATTTGCTTTTAGCATCCTCGTTGATGAAGTTTTGTAGGTTGTCATAACCGAAAAGCGACTCCATCTTTGTATTTTATGAAGGGCCAATATCAGATTGGCACTTCTTTAAAAACCTGAATATTAGTAAGAAGATATTAATGTCTTCTCTGTCCTAAAAGTATCTTTGGAACTACATTTCAGCAGTGGTTTTTCAAAAGGCATATATAAGTGAGCATATCTGTATAACAAAGCTAGTCACAAATTGAATGCACTAAGTAACGTAGTAAGACTAAATGAGATACGCGCCGGTTTCCATTTAAAATCAGTGTGCACTTAATCTTGTCTGCTAAGTGAATCATCCTTACAGTAAGCAAAACGTATTTGTTATACAAGGGTTACTTTAATGGCAGAGATAAAGAGCATTGCCATAAGAACCCGGAGTGATCATATTGTTAAACACATTATCAAGAAGGTTTTAGCTTGATCGGTTACTAGGATGACACTATACCTTCCAAAATCACTAAAGCTCATCCCTTCTATAGTTTTTGTGACACTCATATTGGTTTCTCATAGTCTTCTCTGTTTTACAAAATAGCTAACTTATTTAGATGTATCATTAGCTTGTGGTAATGATATGAACAATTGGTCCAACGCCTTTAGAATTAAAACTGATTATTAAAATGAAAGACAAAACTGATTAATTATTCACTATGTGTCCTTCTCTATGAATGAAGATCATAGAGAATAATCTATTATCAATCAATTTTTAGGGATGATTGAAGTACGGGCCTCACACTAGTTTATCCATACCAATGCATTTTATTTATATGTAAACGTATTTACAAAATAATTTAGATATATAGTTGTCCACTTCATATTATTAATGCTGTTATACTTAATGATAACAGCAAGCCAAATGCTCTATTTTAGCCTAATTTATATAACGTCTATCTCAAATACCACAATCTTAGTAATATAGTGATACTATTAAATAATACCACCGGTTACGCTTAATCTATAAATTAGGCTTTGGTGTTAATAATGTCTATTTAATCTTTCACTTATCCCTCACTTAGTGTTTCCACTTTCATAGAACTTGTTATCAGTTTCAAAAACAATTAATATCGAAACTCAATTTAAGTATGGGTTAATTTGAACTGGGATTACAACCATTTAAATATGGGGACACACGTATGAATTCGGATACCAATTTGCGCGTTAACTCTAATTACGCTCTATCACAATACTCCCAATCGGAAACACACAATAAGATATGAGTGTTGGAAAGGCAATTTTGAACGATAAGATCTTATCGAGCTCTCTAAGTACGGTATTTATCGTGAAAGAATTTAGAACATAAAAGTAAATCAATTTGGGGACAACATCTTGCATGGTATGAGTGTCATGCGCTCCAAGGGATTAAAAGTATACCGTCTTAAAAGAGGCGCCCAAAATTGACATGCATGAAACAATTTTATCACTGATTTTGGATATCAATATCCAAAATGATATATGTAATTAGGTATTAGTAAATGTTTGTGGGAACATAGAGAGCTCGATTTTGATATCCAAAATCAGTAAAACAAAACTTATTTGAGGTAATATTGGGTGATCCGTGAA